AGCATTTATATATATATATATATATCACTCTCTCTACACAGACATACAAACACAATTCAATGTGTGTGTCTGCCGTGTACATGTTTGTACACATTGTGCGCAACTGCACGTGTACATGTGTGTATACACATGTATATATATATATATGCGGATGTTGGTCAGTCTGTCTGTTCAGCAACATGATTGTGACGACATGTACATGGACATTTGTGCAGGTTGGTGTGTTTCTACATAGGGAGAACCTTCTCGTTGTGTTCTACACTCCAAAACATCGTTCTCGTCGTGGGGCTTTGGGCACCTGGTACGGGTCTCGAAAGGTCCGATTGCCCCGACGATGCGGGAGGCAGCCCTGAGGCATCAACCCTGAAACTTAGCAGCCCAAGGCCGTGGAAAGCCTTTGGCCAAGCTGCGTTGTGTACCATTGCTGCGATTGCTGGGCTTCAGGCTTTGCTTGTTTGAGGCGTTTGCATCCTGAATTCGCTCGGACGGATTTGCAGGTCGCGGTTGAACGTTGGATTCGTCGGTCTTTGCTGCAAAGTTCCCGTTCCCACTTTGTTGGTTTTCAAATTGGACATGTATAAAGCCCCATGCCCTGGTGTGACCTCTGTGCCGGCGCTGTCCCGTTTACAGTTCGTTTTGAGGTTTTGGGTTCGCAGAAGAGCGTTTCGAGCCATCCTGTTTCAGAGCCTTACGCGGTCTCCTTCGGGAACGGAGGCAACGTGATGTTGGCATATGCGCTGCAGAAGAGGTTCCATGCTACTTGTCGGAACCATCGGCTGCTTGATAGCCAGGCAGTACAGAGAGTTCGCAGGTCTAGCTTGGGCGGTCCGCGTCAGTTCAGCACGGCTTATCACTGATCCCAGCTTCAGATTCTACAGGGTATAAGTGCTAAGGCCAGAAACCGCATCAAACCCCTGCAGAAGCCAGGTTGACTGAGTTTAAAATGGCTTGCGGCTTGCAGACTAGAAGTTTTCTTTCATGAGAAAGTCCTCATTGAATACCCAAAGGCTAGGGCTCCGAAATCGCAACTCCAACCCGTGCACCGCATAGCCAAATAGCCAAAGACAGAAATCCCAAACCTCGAACGGTTCTGAATACGTAGACCCCGACGGATCATTGATTCGGTTATCCAGCTGCATGCGGGAGCCGTGCAGAGGATGCGAACGACCACATCGCAGCAGTCTGCTTTGACCCAGGGCCGCTAATGACGGCGTGGGATCTTTACAGGCCCTATACTAGGGTCGGGCATTGGGTATTCCAAGGTGCGAGTGGGGTCAATTACTTACTATTACGGACCCAGCGATGTTGGAAGGTTTGTGCTCCAGGATGGAAGGATGCAGGCTTGGGGACGCTTCGAGGTTGCGGGGCTGATAGCAGCTGACAAACACTGGAAACACATGGTATTCATCCCATCTCGGAATCTGATTGCTGACTGCTAGGGGCGAGCATCTTAGCTTGCAGGTTTGAGAACTTCCTAGAACAAATTAGTCGTGCAAGTTGAGCTCCCCACAATCTACAACAATGTGCATCTTCGGTTTGCACCACCCAATATTTCACTATTGGGTGGTGAGATAGAGCCCTTCGAGACGGAAATTCTTGTGGATCTGATGCCAGGGGGTTTCACACAGCCAGACGAGCTAGTAGTAGTAGTAGTAGTAGNNAGCAGTTGCAGCAGCAGCAGCAGCCGGTCGCGTCTGCGACGCTGCAGTATCTCTTGATATGGTTTGCAATAGTATTGTTTCTGTTTTACGACGGGTTCTTGCTATCACCAGACTATATGCTGAGGTGAGTTGTCGATGGTTTCGATGTCTTCATGATGCTTAACATCGCACTTACTATAGTTGGATGCTTTGTTACATGTCTGGTCAGGGGCTATCGGCAACAGGTCCAGAACACTACAACTCTACCTTGTCAATGGCCCCTCACAGTGCTTTCAGAGTCGAGACAGACTTTCAGTGCCAATAGTATTACTGTGGACGGTTGCTCTTCTTGCCACCTGTTAGTGTGGATTAATTACAACTACTGTTACTATTGCTATTACTCTGTTGGTCGTTAACCGCATGATTCTTATTGCATGCTTTGAGCAAGGATACTCTGGAGATCGGATGGTGCGGGGATTGACGTTACTATGTTTCTGGAAACCGGATGAACGCGGATGGATTATTATGATTGGGGCACGGATGCTCTGGAAATCACATCCGGGCGGACATGGATCTTAGTTCTTATGCTTTGGACACGGATGCTCTGGAAATCGCATGCGCGGGGATGAACGTGATTTAGTTTTGGACACCGATGCTCCCGCCATCGGACCATGGCCCAGCATACCCAGCGCTAACACTTTTCATAGCTATCCATTCTTTCTCCTGCTGCCTTCGGCCTGCGACATACAGCAGCGAGGGGCGCAGATTAAATTCAATAATGCGGCAAGCTTGACCAGGATGTCGATGCAGCGAACCAGAGAATGAGTCTGACTCAAAGCACCATCACCGTCTTGTGTGAGACCCCACTGTGGCTGATCCAGGCGGGAAGAGAATCGCTGGCCTGGGACAGGCATGTCTCTGTGCTTCTTCCTTGACGTAGACTTGAGCTCTGGTTGTTCCATTTTCAGGGTCTGTCTATCTGTCTATCTTTCCACCTATCTATCTGCCTACCTATCTTCTTCTATCTATCCATCTATCTACGACCTACCTTTCGACCCATGTGGATTCATGTTGTTATGTGCTTGTTTAGTTTTAGTTTCCGCGCTGCCTCCTCTTATTTGTATGTATATTACATAAAATACAAATATACAAAAAAGTAGATAAGTAGATATATATATATATA